TGCAGAAGGACGTCGTGTTGCACATCCACCCCGAAAGAATTTTAGCTATTCCAGACTGGGAAGACGCGTACAACCACCGATCCTTGGACGAGTTCCTCGTTGATACCATCGCGTCGGCTGTGATCGACTGCTATGAACGTAAAGACATGAGATACACGAAGCCCATTTTCGTTCTCGCTCCGATCGTCGCGCCTCCAGAGAACGGCGAGCCTGCTGTGCGCGTGCTGCCTGCTGACTTCGACAACTCACACCGGGAGAAATACTGGTATTATCCTGTGTGTGGACAGCATAACGCGAGGGCGGCGATGATGGTGAAAGACCATCCCGTGTTTGATTACTACAACTTCTGTAAATGGCTGTTCAGACYGATYYACTTCCCTGAYRACGAGTTCGACGGCTACGCCCATGTCAGCTGCRAAGACAACATGAAAGACAAGAAGAATCCACCTCGCTTGCAGGTTTTTTCTATGCGGGACATTCGCAATATCTGGAAAATAAAGGGCAAACCGCGTGTGGTGCTCGGCAATGCCTCGAAGAAACAGGACGAGGTGCGAAAGTGGATGCGGTTCATGGCGTTGGCAATGAAGAAGACGCCGTACACGCCTATCTGGAACCTGTCAACGGAAGCAAAGAAAAGAAAGGAATGGGCTGAGAAACTTCGATACTACCTCCCGCTGGCCATGGCAGATGACTCCGTCTTCACTTTGGGGTTGAAGTTTTATGAGGAGTGGTCGAAAGGGAAACTCCTTGCTTCCGACGGGCGGCGTTGGACTGAAAAGCCGCCCACCCATGAGGAGGTGGCCAAGCCAGGCCTCTCCACTGTGACTGACAGCCACGGGCTGAAGAAACACGTTTATTGCGTGAAGGTGGACGACCCGTCGTTGAAAAAGGGGAAGGGGAACCAAAGAAAGGCGCGGAGGAGAAAACTTTCTACGTCCAAGTTCCGGAGCCGGATGTCCACTGCTGGAAGGAATTGGTGGACTTGACGGACCGCGAGAAGAAAAGGTTGTTGAACGGTGTCTTGAACCTTAACGTCGTGTGGGTTCAAACGAGTAGCAAAAAGTTGGCCGAGCAGGGGAAGTTTTGTGTCAAGGAGATGGTCGACACAATAAAAATGAACCGGATTATGCTGAGGCTGTGGCACTACGTGGAGTTCGAGTACGAGGAAATGGATAAGCGGGAGTGGAATGCCAACTCCACGTTCTTCAGGTCCAAGAAGCAACTGTTCGAAGAGTTCAAGGACAGAGGTCTCGACGACAAGCTTTGGAACAAGAGCAGGAAATTTTTCACGGACATAACATACGTCAACAAGTGCCCTCAGTTTCTCGGGTGTCATCACGACAACAACATCAAGAGAACGGCGGCCCTCGTCAACGACCAGCATTTCCCGGCGGAATGGAAGCGTGTCGTCCTTTCGGTGATYACTGGAGAYCGCGCCAAAGGCAAAAAAAGYCYTYGGGGCGTTGATGAATGCATCAACATTATGTGGACAAGGACAAGCGCCTTGACGACGCTGGCCCAGTTTAACGTCGACCCATTGACTGCCATAGATCACAAGGCCGCGCTGGGAAAACAAGGGCATCAGCTACGCTCCCCCACTTGCGTGCTCGACTTGTGCGGAACTGTTCACCGTGCGCAATGGGACTCTAGGTCATTCGCGTCTCTGAGTGAGTTGCTGGGCTTCGTTTGTCAGGACTACTGGACATTGGTGGTATTCGTCCCCTGCCTGTGGAACCTCTCCTTCATGACATGTTTGTCTGCGCTTGGGGCTACCCGACGCTACACAGGGAAGTGGGTTCGGAAGACGGCATCAAAGAAGACGCATCAGTTCGGAAAGAGCATTTGGGAGGAGCCGGATGTGATGCACATCCTTTTCAAAGGCGAGGATCCTCGACTACTGACTCACCCGGTGTACGAGGGATCTGTTGCTGAAGACGACGACGCCGCTCTCCGGAGGAAACAGAAAGTGACACCCACGGATGTGGAGGAGAAGTCTTCGACCGGTGACCGCAATGAGGAAGAGGACGGTGGGGTTCTGGCGGTAACAGGGAGCACCTCAATGGAGACGGGGAACGACTTGAGGCCTGGGTGTATTACGCGGTCTGGCGAGCAGGACCCTGTGATTAGCTCCATCAGCAAAACACAGTTTGTCGATGCGGTTGGCGGGGCGGGTGTCGCAAAGCATGGAACATGCTTCGCTCAGCTCCAAAAACGGTTGGCGGATTGTCTCGGATCAATCCGAACCTCGGAGACGACCTCGTTGTCCGGAACTCAATGCCTTCCGGGAAGCGAGACGACAACATACCACTGGTCCGGCAGCGACAAGCTAGAACCGTGTTCCGTTTCGCCTCAAAAGGAATTTCGGATTAATCCGAACCGCGAAGGCCGTGCTATCAAGGGAGCACGGCTGTCTACAGAACTCGAACGGGTGGTCCGGGTTTCCGAAAACCCTGGCGACGGAATTCGGATTCATCCGAACCAGGAAGCCGTGTCTACCATGACAGACGATCGGTGTCAGGATGCAGTAATGATGTACGTGGAAGCCCATAAGGAGCTGCAGGCGGACTGTCSGACTGAGGGTGAGTTGGCGACCAGCTCCAATGTCGAGCCCAACAGACTCAGAGCCGAGTTAGTGTTCGTAAGCGACTCCCCGGTGAAAGCGGTCATGTCGGCGTCATTGGAAACTGCGGAGGCTCAGATGAATCCGAACCAGGGCCCTGTGAACATCTCCCTCCCTGATGCATCTTTGGAGACGACCGTGATTCGGATTCATCCGAGGCACACGGACGAAGGACTTCAACTGGTAGGCGTTGAGGGTTGTCGACTACTGACGACTTTGGACAAGGACAATTCCGCCGATGACCGGATTGATCCGACACTCAAGGACGTCGGGATGGAGCTACCAGTTCAGCCGGGATACGACGATCCCTTGTACTCCGCCCTTCACAACGAGGCGACGGGGGAGGACGATCTGAAGAAGGCCTTTGACGCTGTAGGAGATAGATTTCTCTATTTGAGTGACGACGACAAAGACACAGCGTACGGGGACAAGAAGTTAAGGGGGGGAGAGGTGTTGTTTGACATCCATGGGACATTGAGCCCAACACAATACGACACAGGGGCAATGGAGAAAACACAACCTGCCGATGTTGTGGACGTCGACGATCTTTGTCCGGAGACGAATATACCGTCTACGGTCATCGACGCCGACATCTCGAGCCTGTCAAGTTTCCCTGTGGGTTTGGAGCGCGTCGTCGCCTCGTCGACGCGCGCAGGGGTGCCAATCGTGCTGGGACTGCCGTCGGTGGGCTCTGGTGAAGTAGTAGCTAGGCCTGGTAAGCACTGACTTTCTCTGCTTTCTTCCCGCTCGTCAGCCCGTTCGTGAAGTGTTGTTTGCTTCGTCGATTTCGGGGAGGTGTATAGGCGGCCGCCAACTGGATTGTGACGATGTGCTTCGTGAGGTGCTGTTTGCTTGGTTGCTCTTGCGAACTTGTGTTGTTGATCTCCTGCTGAGATGTCTGGGTGGCTATTTCTTGTACAGGTCGACGAACTTGTGGACAAACACCCATGTTGCAGGAGCCGCCTACCCTCGCCAGGTTGTCAGTCCTGGTCGCGGGAGGCACTGGTCGTCGCAATGTCACTGATGCGTTTCCTGGGGACACTAAGCCTCGAGGCCCTCCCAGAAGGGTAGTCGTGCCCGTATTGGGCTCCCGCGCAAGACTCGTTGCAGAGGCAGCGGGTGTTGCCGAAAAAGACTCCAAGGAATTCCTTCTCGAGGCTTGCAAGGATATAAAGGACAGTGCTAGTTTAGAATCAACAGTGTGTAGAAGGTTCAGAAGTAGGGGTGACGTTATGCGTGAACTTTTCGGACCACAGAGTAGCGGTTCCTCGGACCATGGCCGCTAGGACGGCATTTTCTCATAGTGCCCCGTCCTTTGTGCTTGCTGTGTGCTGCGGGTGTTTGTTGAACAGGGTTTCCTCGAGATGGAAGAACGGTCCTTGAAGACGTTATCTGCTCCCGGTTGCCGCTCACTATCATCGTCTCGCGTTTGCCGTCGCACAGTTTACAGGTATCCGTCAAGGACATCGTTGCACTCGTGGATAGATCCGGGGAGCTCAACGATGAGGTTGTCAATTTCTACATGGCGATGCTACTGAACGACTGCGGCCGGACCGCCGCAACCATGAAGACATACACCTTTAACCCCTTCTTCGCCTCTTCACTGCTTCTGCGAGGTCCGGCAGCTGTTCTCAGATGGGCTAAAGATGTCGACCTCCTATCTCATGACCTCGTCTTGGCACCGGTGCACAAGGACGGCGAACACTGGAGCCTTTTGGCCATTGACTTCTCTAGACGTGTTTTCAAAATCTATGATTCTTTCTCGTGTTCGTCATCCAAAGATTCCTTCTACTCCGCACTTCTGGATAAAACTGTTAAATTTTTGAACACGGTGGCAGGTGCCGCCGGTGATGGTCGCACTTTCGACCACTTTGCTCGCGAGGTCAGCGTGAAAGGTGTCCCTCGGCAGCACGACGGGGCTAGTTGTGGGGTGTTCATGTTGATGTTCTCTTCCTGTTTGGCGAGAGGTTTACGTCCACCTTTTGGTTTCTCCCATAGACACATCTCCTCTATCAGAGCTAGACTAGCTTTGGCGATTTGCAATGTTGGTAGGTAAGCGTCTATCTCTTTGTTATTCATGTAGTGTAGAAGGGTTGACGTAGAAGAACATTTCGTTCTTCTCCGGATGAAATTTGTTCCTTTTCAATTTTTCCGTGAGGGACTGGTGGGTGTTCTCGGTTTGGTTCAGAGCAGAACTGGCTATCACTGCCAGGAAATCTCCGGGTGAACTTGTCATGTCCCCGGCGTGTTTGTCGTCGACAATATTGTTCTTTCTCATTGAATTTCAATTATCACGAATGTCCCCGTTGTTGGGGCGCCTGTTTCGTGATTGAATATCTCGCTTTCGTCATTTTGCGCCTTGTGTGGTGTGATGTTCTGCCCGCATACTCGGATGCATGCGGACTCGAACTAACTCTATGCTTTTCTGCCTCTCTCCCGAACCTCCGCCGTCATCTACACTCATCTATGCATTTTCACTTTGAATGTTGTGAGGCGTCACAGAAAACAAAATATAACACACAGGCCTCTTTATACATTTGACGGCCCGTCTGGCCCTCCACACTGTGTGCTTTGTGATTCCGACATTGAATGCTGTCAATTCTTTGGCCCGGCATAGCTCCCCCTCTACACAAGCATTCATACATTCGGTTCCTATGCATTACCCAATATAATGAAAAATTAGAATGTGCCGAGAGGGAAAACCCAAAACACGACGCCAATGGCTGCTCGAATGTGACGAGATTTGAATTAAGGTGGCGGGGCTGAAAATACAATTGCATGATTGGACAAAATAGGATATGGTGACGGAAGGATAAATCACAACACGGGCTAAGGTCTTTGCTATAGAGGACTTGAGTTAGTCCGTCGCACACTTAAGGCCAGCGAACGAAGCGGGCGCTCGAACTCCGAAACTGCTTGCTGGAGGCAGCACCCGCATTTGTACTCGAGCAGACCGGTCTCTACCTTCAACTTGTTTCAAGGCGACTATACTAACCCCCTGAAGTTGTTTCACATATAGTCTTTGAGGATCCTACACAGACATATGTTGGTTTTCTGCGGATTATGCCCATTACATTTCAGTAAGGTGAATGTATCGAATTTGAGACACAAAACAAAGGGCCGAAGGCCAGAGCTCCCCTGTCATCTCGGATGCATCCTAACTTGGCTTACTCTCGCCTAACGAAAACCTTGCAACTCTTGTACAGCTACACTTGTGGTTTTCGCGTGTTCCTCGAACATGCGTCTCCTGTGCCACATGTCGACATGAAAAAAAAATTTAGTGCGATCATCCACACTCTCTCTGTCTCTCTCTGTGTCTGTGTCTATGTCCCTGTCTCTGTCTCTGTCTCCCTCTCCATCTCTCTGCGCGCTCTTTCTATCTCTATCAGCTCTGTCCAGATCGTAGCGAAGCGACTCACAGCCGAGACACTCCGGATGCATCAGAAATGTGGTGGATGATGGTACAATGTTTGTCTCTCTCTCTCTCTCTCTCTCTCTCTCTCTCTCTCTCTCTCTCTCTCTCTCTCTCTCTCTCTCTCTCTCTCTCTCTCTCTCTCTCTCTCTCTCTCTCTCTCTCTCTCTCTCTATCTATCTATCTATCTATCTATCTATCTATCTATCTATCTATCTATCTCTCTTTCTCTCTCTCTCTTTCGTAAAAGATACTTCTTGAACTGTGTCCCAAAAAGCACAGGGGAAGCTTCAAACTGAAGGGTCTATACTAGTTCGACACTTTGGATACGTCCGTAACACGAAATGCTGTGGGTGACTATACKGTGCTTGTCTTTTCCATCTCTCAGCCCTCTGGCGTGCTAACATGTCATTTCTTGCGGGCTTCCTCTCTGTCAATCTCCTGTGATCTCGGATATATCCGAACTTCGCTTATCTGGGAAAATCACATTGCCTTGCTGCTCTTCTGCAACGATCGTCTGAAATGCTTTTAAAAGCGAGGTTGATGATCTCCGCGTGTGCTCGACCCTGCGCCGTCCGTGCGGTGTCTCGAGAAAATTAAGTACAGTCTGCCTGAGACACTCTGTCTCTCGCTCTTTTTGTCTCTCTCTCTTTTTCTATATCTCTCGCTCTTCAAATGTACACGACCATTTCTTGCGGACTTCCTCTGTTTAGCTATCTCCTGTGATCTCGGATACATCCGAGCTTCGCTTATCTTGGAAATTCACATTACCTTGCTGCTTTCCTACAACGATCATCTAAAATGCTTAAAAAAACGAGGCTGATGGTCTACGCGTGTGCTCGACCCTGCGTCTCCTGAAAATTAAGTACAGTCTCTCTAAGACTCTCTGTCTGTCGCTCTTTTTGTCTCTCTCTCTCTCGCTCTTTCTGTCTCTCTCTCTCTTTCTATCTCTCTCGCTCTATACATGTACACGATCATCGGTGCAGAACTCCAATTCATTCTGGTCCTCACACTTTTAAATACAGGTCATCCTACTCCTCTAAGTCTGTGAAGAGCCACAACTCGTTTTACTCACAAACTCGAGTTTGTGTCATTTTACTGTTTTGATTCGGATGAGTGGGATGCTCAACTCCAAGTGAAACTATGACACACTGGTATATATTACTCTGTTCTGGTGTTCCACATCTGGACACAGGAGATTTATGTACTGAGGCAGCAGTACATATTATAACACAATGGTAGCAGATATATGTACTGACTCAAAGGCGTATAACACAGTGTATACTCTGCTGTGGTGTTCCACATCTGGACACATTCGAACCACGAGAGGAGAGCAACTATATGTACTGACTGTGCTCCTCGCCTCAAAGCTGCTTTACTCCTTGTTCGGATGTATCCGGATCTGGAATACTACAGCAGACTATACACTGTCTCATAAATTCGTTTCAAAATAGTATACACAATAATGTACTGTTTTAACGAATAACATGTTTCTTGCTTCCTGACCGGGAGGGCGCAACAGGGCTGCCACTTGTTCCAGGTAGGTAACAGCGCCTGACACGAAGCCCATATTTTCAAACTTATGTTGCAAGGCTGCTAACTCCATCCTTACGCGGGTCAGTTCCGTAGAGTCACCTTCTTTAGCGTGATCATCTCCCTCGAGGAAGCTAGCAGCGAACTTTCGCTCCATCTCTTCTGCTGCGTCCATGATTTGCGTCAGGTGAAGGTGATGGGGGATAACTATTTTCATATCTTAGCCCGTATAGCTCTGCTTCGAAGTCCATCTATGAAGAATTTTCTTCCTACCTTTTCGTCTCTCTTAAACTTTACAAACAATCGGTAAAACCGACTACGGTACCCGCAATAGACTTGAGGGGCTTCTGCACTTGGTCCTTGATCATAAAGAACGCTTGTTCTGGATGTATATAATCAAACCGGTGTAGGAAGTCCCTCTCGAAGGTAGGAAGGTCAATCCATACATAGGTGCTGAACCAGTGATGGGCGTCGCCTCCTAATCGGGTTGGGATGTTAATCCTAGCTTCGTCATTATCGTACAGCTGCGCTCGGAGCGTGGCAAGCCATGCTCCTCCCAGGTGGTGCGCGGGATCGAATAAATATAGATCTGGCGGGGTTGCCGGAGCGTGGGCACGCGCTGGCTGAGGCAAGGGCTGAGGCGCAAGCCCCAGGCCGCCCCCTGGCACGCCTTGTGCTTGATTGGCTGCGGCCTGATTGGCGTTCGCCTGATTAGCATTCATGTCGTCTGTCGATCTGCCCGCAGACCTGCTTGTTGTCACTACAGGTTCGCGTGTCGACGCGTTCCGTTGGGCAGACGGTCCCCGTTTTGGTGTCG